GGGGAGCACGTCAAGCTGTCTTTTTTCTGCCTTTGAGTAGCAGCTTAAACGCATTTGTTGTGTTATGGATCATTTTGACAACGAAAGGACGATTATTTTCGCGAAAACTCTGGCTAAATCTAGGTCTGTTTGAGAACGGGATGTAGGCACACATCGGTGTGCATGAATCGCCAATCGCGGCTGACTTCACGTATGTATGCCAATTAATTCGTAAAAAATGGCAGCTTCGAATTGTCATGACAGCGCGAACTAGGTTTGGGCGCTTTTTGGCAGTTTGCTCGAATAGGGCACATATGAACATTATTCGTGAACTCGGCATTGATGAACACCTCAGTGCCACTCTTGATGGTACCGATTTTTTAGTTACAAGAAAAACGTGAAAATCCGGCGATTGCTCGTTAGTGATGACAGTGACGCACTCAGTGCCTTACTTTGCTATGGCGACAATTCAATTATTGTCGTTTTTATCGTAGCCTTTTGCACCGGCTCGCGAAATGCTGGCTCCCTCTCAACAACGACACGAATGTTTACAGACATTTCCCTATTCTGCGACGATGCGGTCTAGGAGACGTCTTCAAAGCCGGTGCCCAATCAAGCCTGTGATATACTTAACGACATCTGGTTTCATTGCATTCCAAGATCGGTTGCTGCACAGATGAAGTCAAAACTGGCTGCATTGGTCATTTGCCGTTTTGGAGACGTTTCGAGCGTTCGTGATCCAAGTCGCTCGGTTTGATGTCATGAGAGACGCCACTGAACGCGTCCATTGCCGACAGAATGATATCGACAGAACTTTGAGTTTGATGTGGGTGTTTAAGTAACTTCGTTGCTGTGAGTACTAATTGCCCGCAGCATAAAGTACAGCGCTACCTGCAAGATGACATTCACTGGGAACAGCGCCTTGAATCGAAATTTCGTGTCGCTCAGTGGCATACGGTCCTCAGTAATTGATTACAATTACAAGTACTCTCGTACATGTATTTGATCAGATTATTGGATTACTCGAGACGAAAAATAATTGGCCGTTACTTGAAAAAGTAACCTTTGCTTCTCCGATTACTTCATATATGTTCAAAAATACATAATTTCCCGCCGACCTAAAAAAAAAAAAAAAAAAAGGTATTTGGAACTGTTTATTGTTGAATTAAAATCACGGAATTACGAATTCCTTGTCTTCTTAATCCGCTAATTTCGGTAAACCTTCCTCCTGTCAAAGATCTGGTTCGATATGATTCCTTGGTAAAAGAAATTGTACACAGGGCGCCATAAGACACGGGAGGCGAAAAACAAAGTAACAGTTACAAGCAATTTTAGTACTTCCAAAAGTACTCAGGTTACTCTTGCGATTACTTCCTGATTAATGTAATCAAATTACCAAAAAAATTATAGAAAAGTAATCGATTACAAGTAATTTGATTGCTTGTAATGAGTGCCAAGTCTGTACACACAGTTTTTTTCTTTAATCTGTACTATGTCGTTAAATTACGCTGCTATCATTTTGACTTTCCAAGAAAGATGCCCTCGTCGTACAATCCCCCGTCTAAAGCCCAGTCTAACGCCGTCCTAACGTGGCGGCCCTTAAGGGCGTCCCGACAAAATCGATATGTTAACTTCGCCACCGTACGGCGCCCTGATCGGCGCTCTGCGCTCGAGTTGCGTCCGCACCGCCCCTGTTAATCCATAGACAAGATTCCTTCGTGCATGGATGTCAGGTAGCATCGGTCATTATTCTAACCAAGTATTGGAAGAGATGATCATGCGAGACACTAAGGGCAACTGAAACAAGCGGATACGCATATTTCAGTGCCCGAAGCCTAGGCCGTTGGTTTCGGGTATCAGTGGGAAGGTGACCTTTGAAGTCGGTGTTGAAGATCGAAAGCTCCGGCCTCGTCGTTGAGGAGGTGTGCACTAACCGTCTCCCCACTGTCTTCCTGTCTCTCCCCCTTGGTAACACCTCGGCCGGTAACGACCAGCCGAGCTTGGTCCCAGAACCGACATCTTGTCCCGGATGTCGCTTCTCCACGGCTCCGCTAAATGTCCCCTTCGCGCGCGACTCCTCGACAGGTGTCATTAGGGGCCAGTTGCGATAAGCATCTCGAACGACTGGAAATTAAGGAGGAGGGGGTGATTACATCGGCGCCGTGACGACCTCCCCCCGCGGACCCCAGTTAACGACCATCGCGCGAAAAGACAAGGTCACTTGGATCCTTAACGAGAAAGGGCAGCTGGTTACCTGCACGCTGTAACTTCGTTTTCCCTTCGGATAGATCGCGGGGGTATACTGAGCTATCGAGGCCCATTCGATGGTATACTTTGTTCACCTCTAAGCTGACATTGCGGGCCAATCAGCCGCCTTCCTTTCGTCACCGGACTTCCCTTTCTACGCGCGGTCACGCGGCATGGTCACGTGGCGCCCCCTAAAATAATCCGAGCCTGCGCGCTAGAGTCGTGACGTCATCACATTGAGATCGAGCGAAAGCGCTGATTGGACACGAGTGTCGCGTCAGCGTTTGGCCGAGCCTCGTGTCCCTTCGAAGGACGCTCGGCATTGGGCTCGGGTCCAATTGCTGAGTTGGCGCCATGCCTTACTGCGATGACGTTCCATGGAGGAAAAGGAGGGCGTTTGCGGGCCTCGACTTCTCTTCCAGATGGTGTTGACGCAGCGACTCGCGAGAGCTGCTGTAGTCACGTGACGGGTTCCCAGCGCTGGATTGGCTGGGATGGCTCGGAGCATCCGCTGCGGTCCAAGCTGACGTGAAACGGCGTACATGCTGCAATGGCCGCTCGGGGCGGGTCTCTGGACCGGATCCGGACCTGCCTTTGGCTATGCCTCGGAAACCGTTTGTCTCGCTCGAGGTTATCCCACCGGAGGAGTCGCGCCAACGGTCCGTCGCGGACGCTCCTTTTCCGGAAGAATCTCGCGCCAGTTCCGCTCTGCCTGTTGCATCGACTGAACCGGGCAAGACGCTGTGATGCTGGGCCGTGGACGTACTTCTCCGTAGGAAGGTTGGACTTTCGGAAATCTTCGACGAGAAACAGCTATAGCGCTAATTATCTTTACTTGTTGGTGGGACTCGTGCACAGGCCATGGTTTTCTCGGGGAAACATTCCGAAGTTCCCTGAATAACAATCATATAGCGGCAAGCTATGAAAACCTTGATTTCTTGTTTCAACCGCAATCCCTACAGCTGGGCGTAGACGAAACGTTTGGCGGTGCTCATAGTTCTTTTTCTTTTCTTTTTTCGGTAAGGAAAAACAGTTTTTTTTTTTTCAGGCGCCCGTTCATGCATAAATATGGAACTCGCCAAGGAGAAAAAAATGAAATAAAACGGATTATTAGAAAGACGGCGAGGTTAAGCGAACTGAATGATGTCACTCACTAGTATGCTTCGTGCTGGGGGAGGGGGAAGGGGGATAAAGAAAAAAACAGATATGTACGAAGAGTAATTTTAAAAGAAGATATTAGAAATAAACGCACGAAAACTCTTCAATAAAATGAAAATAACGGATTTAATCAAAACACGAGCGTGCTCTGGAAAACCAGAGACAAAAAGGTCTATAAGCTATGTTCATTTTTCACCTCTGTTTTTACATATTCAAGTGTCCCGCTATGTGTGGCGTATACTCCCAAATTCCTTCACCTCATTGGCAGTAGGTATTCCGGTGATTGTCTTAGTTCTGACGTGGAAGGCTCAATAGAACATATCCTGCGTGAGTGTCCTAGATACCCCGACGAACAACGAGCTCTACACCGCAGATTGAACCAAATGGACGCACGGCCCTTCCCCGTTTCCAACGGGCTTGGTGCCTGGAACACAATGGACACATCTTCAGAGACGTCCAGGGCTTTTATACTCTTCCTTACCAGTGCCGGACTGTCAAATTGTCTGTTTTTCTTTTGTGTGCGTGTGCGCGTGTACATAAGTAAGTTTTAACATCGTCCTCACCATACCTTGCACCATCATCGCAATAATTTCATTCTGTTCTCTCATCACTCTGTTTCTTACCCCTCTTCTCCTAACCCTATAGTGTAGAGTAGCCAGCTATAGGACAGACATTCAGGCTAACCTCGCTGTCTTTCTGTAAATCAATCAGTCAAAATGTCCCGTTTAGCCTTGTTGCTTTTAACATTTTTGCCAGTGCATTGGCGGCCATCTGAGCTTAACCGGCTCGCCTAGGTTCTCCCTTTGACTTTGATGTAGTAGGATGTTGGAATGCTGTTGCAGCCCGGCCGTGTCATTTCGTCCCCCGTGTGCAGCCACAAATTCTGTGTCTTCTTCGTTTCCTCGGAGAATGTCACCGGCACATGTCTCTCGAGTCTCTTGCCCTTTAATTTGTCGCCGTAACGTCTGGACCCTTATCCGTGGAACGCGCCTGGTCGCCCCCCACTCTCCCTCATACCAGATGGGCTGTGGCAGTCTTCGACGCCGCAGAGACGAGTAAATAATGATCATAAGAAAACCCGCCGCTTCCGATGAAAACGCCGAAAGCGAAAGGACGAGGTGCCTCCGGCGTGATTTCGGCTCTATTTTAGGACCGGTTCGGACGCCTCCCCCTGCAAGAAATCTTCCCGCTCATGGGCCTCCGACGTTCCTGGGGTGCAGACTCTTGAAAAGGAGGGGGGGGGGGGGGGGGGGGCAGCAGCGTGGCGTCTTTTTGAACGCTACGTGCGCGAGGTCTCAGTCGCGGGCATCGCGCCTCGTGGAGCACTCCTTTGCGAAAACTTCCTCCGGACGTTCGCGAATTTCTGGGTAAATCGTTGCTGTTTTTTTGTCTTTCGTGTCTTCGTGTGGTGGGCTTGGTGCATTTAATTCGGTAAAACTGAGCCACTTTTTTTTTTATCTTACGAGTGTTGATTGGTTCGTGCGACACAGGATGTACCTTATGCAGGTGCAGTGTCTGTCGCGCCTGTTCCTACAATATTGCGACACTTGTATTCTGTGCGTGTTTTTTGTCAGTTTTGTTCGATTGCCGTCTTTTTGTTTTCATTGCAGATCTTCGGAGGGTGCATCGTGAATCAGAGTTTTAACCCCGGATTACGTCTGTGACAAGCATCGGTCGGCTCCCGAACTCCATTCGACTGCTCGGATTACGTTGCCTCGAGTCGGCCGCGACAAGCTCCCCGATGACATCGAGGTCAGTGTGCCGATTATGCTTTCGCTGAACTAAGAGACACTCTCGCGAAAGCAAAAAGTTGCAATGGGCTTATCGGTTGCTCTCGTTGATGCTCCCTTCATATTCGAATACAGTTAGAGCCTCGAATCTCTATTTCTGTACAGCCTCGTTGTCAATTCGTTCTAGAGTACGTACGGCTAAAATCCTGACAGACTCCTCGCGAAACCGTTCCACTTCCGTTTGGTGATCCGTTTTTTTGCTACGGTGGCCGAGTGCCTTAATGCGCCGTTACTCAGAGCCCGTGGAGCGACAGCAAGCGCCCCAGAACCCGGGGAGCTTAGGCTTGATCCCCACCCCCCTGCTTCGATCTGGATAAATATCGTACCGGCGTGCGGTCGTGTATCGCTACTGCGCGGTGCACGTTAAAGACTCCGGGCAATGCTGCTGCACTGGGAAATTTCATATCTGCAGCAGAGAGACCAGAGGGACCATGACTCCCATTGGGGCCCGCACGCAACGCTTATTCACCATCGTCCACTAGGCAAGTTCCAGTAATTAACTCCAGGCGTCGTTACCGGTCGCCGACGGCTAATATCCCCTGATACCGACGGAAAGGTCTGTGGAACGCAGTCATCGGCAAGCCCAACGCACCCAACTTCCGCCAAGGACTCCGTAATCCGAGGAAAGGCGGAGGAAAAGAACCATCGAAATGTTGGTTGCACATCGAGAGATCCCCACGTGGTCAAAATCGTTCCTCGGTTCGTCGGTTTGGCACGTGAAACCCTCTCATTTGCTTCTGCATGACATTGAAGAGTTTGAGAATAAGAAGGCCCCGACGGCTCTGCGCCCTACAGGAACTTCTGCAATTGCGCAGTGCGGTGCTACAGGCTGCTCGGAGTATACCCAAAGCGTCGAGGCCCCTATTCTAAAACACTCTATTTTGTATAACGCTCTCACTCACCAACTCAAATATACGCATCCCAGGTTTTCGCTTCTATGGAGTGTTAATTTTGTTTTAAAGATCGCCTTTTTCGTGGTGCGCGTAGGTCTCTGTACGCGCTCTTATGGAACCGGCACAAGACGCACAGTCTTCGCACGCGCGGCTTCGCAAATAACGAGGCAAAGCGAATACGAGGCGAACAACCGACGGGCACCTTCGCTTCGCGCGCAACTCGAACAGCCCCTGTTCGCACTTTGAAGAGCGCACTTTCGAAGAGGGTTTCTTGGGCCCTTTTCAGAAGTGGGCTGTATGTATACAGTAGCTGCTGTAGCAATGATTCGAGCCCGTCATTGGTTGATCGCAGCTACTCTGAGCGTGTGTATTGGACACCAGGGTCGCGTCATCGTTCGACGACCAATTGGCTCGGCTTGTATCGAGGGCTGGTGCTGCGTCAGCCGTTCGGCGAGGACTCGGATCCCGCCACATGCCTCGTGCCCTAAAAATGGCGACTGCCAATGTTGCTCGATGAACTGTCGAAAAGAGCTCTATATCAAGCGCAGAGCCCCGGCCGAAATTCCTTGTTTGTTCGCAGCATATTCGGTCCTGGGAGTCCACTTTGGAAGCGAGCAGCGGTGGTATATCATAGTTGTCATGGTCTGTCAGCTGCGTGTAGAAATGGCGTCTTTTACTCTAGTCCTTGGCAAGCCAAGAAATGCGGGGTGCAGCTTGTCCCGAGCATGTCATTAGGGATATTGTTTCTGCATCTTTGGCTTCTGGTCTGGGCCGCTAGCGCTGTATTTGGACGGCCAGTAAGACAATGCTGTTCTTTCGTGTCTTGTTGTCGTGTTTGTTCCTCTTCGCAGTCCGTGTTTTCTGAGCTGTTTTCCCCATCATGTATAACGTCAACCAACTGGCCCAGTTCTCCACCTTATTACGGCCAGTAAGCGTTGGGCAATGCGTAGTTTACCTTCGCAATTAAAAATTGAAAGACGCTTACAAATCTCTGTAATGCGAAATTAGAGCGCAGCTCTTCAGGAGGAGGAGGACAGGGTACGGAGGGAAGGGTATGCCTCTCCTCCTCCTTGTCTCCTCCTCCTCTTCCATTCCCTTCTCTCTCTCTTCCTCCTCCAACTCAGTTTCCCCGCTAAATTTAGCGGGGAGGTGACGTCAGTTGACCTCAACACCAATTCAGTTCCAGCGGAGAAAAGGAATTCGTCCGCTAAATCTAGCGGAGAAACTCAATTTCCCCGCTAAATTTAGCGGGGAATTGAATTGGTGTTGCAGTAACGTGACGTCAATGTTCCCGCTAAGTTTAGCGCGGTATACCTTGACGCCGACGTCCCTCAACCCGGAACCGAACGCCTAAAAACTGTGCTAAAAAAAAAACAACAAAAAAAAAAAACAATTTTTTTTGTTGTTTTTTGTTTTGTTTTAGGCACCCCGAATACAGGAATGAGGGCGTCCTTGCGTCTAGGGCTGCCCTGTCTTGGATGAGGACGAGGGGGCGACGTTTTGTGCGCGCCTCCCAAAGACCCCGCTAACCATACTGCAGCTCGCAGGCGGGTTTTCTCCGTGGCGTGGTCTGGTGAGCCGCCGGCGGGCACCTCGTACCCGAGCGTGACGACGGGGCAACCGGATTAATCTGGCAGATTAGGCTTCCACGTGGCCATTAAGCCGACTCCGCACTCGCTCGACGGCGCGTGGAGCGGTCGAGCCAAGTGCGAGATCCAAGTGGGACGGCCCTGGCAAGTCCACATTACAGGCCTGGCGAACCTTTGTGGGACCCGAGGTTCGGCTGGTTCCGCGAACTTCCGAGCCTTCGGCAAATTTCTCCAAGTCTGAATCATAAACGGTGCTTACCAATTGAAAAAAAAAAAAAAAAATGTAACGATTAGTTTTAAAGTAGTGTATCTTGTGAAATGATTACCACGATTATACGACGTCAAAACATATAGGTGTACTTTTAATGCTTTATTTCTTTAATGTGAGCAAAATCCAGGTGGCGCCAGCTCGTTTTCACATTTTTGCGCATGTGCACGAAAGTGAAACTTTAGTTCAAAATGTTTGTCGAACTTGGCGTTAGAAGTTCGCAAAAGTCGAACCTGGGCGAACTGGAACCTCGGCAGATCCGCGACAGCCCTTATGAGGATTCAAAGCCAGGCTCATGAGCGTTAGATACGAATCCGTTGCTGGCCACTTTTATTCTAAACCATCTTTCAAAGTGTGCGCCCTCCAGGAGCGGCTCCGTCGATTATCTACATGGTGTACGAGTGGCCGCCATCATTTGGACAGGCCTTTGAAGCAGACGTTAGAAATGAGTTCTGCGGCAGCAGTCATGCCTAAGTGCCCAAAATATGGCGGCCGCCATGTTTTTTTTTTTTTTTTTCGATGGAGTTTTAAAACAGCCTTGTCTCCTGAAATGTATTATAATATATATTACTTAATTACTGGTCGCCTGCTGCTTCGTAATTACCCGTTACCTTTTCCCCCTATTAAGGGGTGTCCAAACAGGACACTACAAATGGCACGACTCCGACAAATCGTGAAAATTGAAGCGGACGCGCCCGCTTCAATTTTTACGATTTATCGGAGTCGTGCGTTTTGTAGTGTCCTGTTTGGACACCCCTTTAGTTGTCAAGCGATTACTGAGGCTGCATGATCGTTTTCCGTTGTGCGCATTGTTTGGTTAGCTGGAGTTTGAAAGATGCTCCTCTTTGGGTTTGGCACGCGCCAACCCTCAACATCGCAATTGCGTTCGTGGTGTCATTCGTAGGGTTGCGTTCGGTTTCGAAGTAAGCACTCGACGAGCGTGTACCCTTTATTCGACGCTTGCCGAGATACGTAGAGAGTGGCATTCAAGGGTGGGGCCTTATCGCCTTCGGACAGCCGAGGTGCTATTTTTCCCTGGCGTTCCTTTTTGAGCTTATCCGGATGATCTCAACTTAAATGTCGCGCCGAGCTTCGCAAAGGGTCGGCGCGTCGAAGGCTGCCTTCTTTTCTTTCCGTCCGGTTTTCTTCGCTGCCAGGGACTGATATCTTAATCCTCGGCTCCATTGAAGCGGTACGTCTTGATTTAGAGCGACCGCTTCGCATACCAGCTTCATTCTGACCGCGAAGTACGACCGAGGCCCCAATACCGAAGCAGTCGAGGGAAACCAAAAATGAGCTTACCTCGATACTTCGCAAAAAAAGGCGATTGACGCAAAATCTGTCTTGTGTTGTTGTTGTTGCAAATGTATTTATTGTAGTCGGTCGCAGTTTAAGAAAAGCAGCGCAAGCTCCTCCTGCAAAGCCCTCCACTCTTTTCACTTTAGAAGAGCAAAAGCGGGAGAGGAGGGAAGCAGCATGCCATTGCGGGCAGAGAGCTTTCTGGGAGGGTATACTTTGTATCGTGAAACGTTCTCTGGCTAGGGGTGTTCGGTATTTCGTGAAGCCGAGATAAAAGCGTGGCCGTGAGGCTCGAACCTGGTTGGTTGATGGGCGGGATAGGAGGAGCGAGGTGCTCGACGCTGATTGGTTAACGGAGAGGTCGTGGGTAGGCAAGGAAGAGCTCGACCACCTGTGCGCCCGGACGGACAGGAGCACGAGAGTATGGAAGGCCCTGGAAGATCGCCAGACTTATCAGCCCGATCGGCGGTAGCATCGCTTCATTCTAGAAACAGCTATAAAGTATACACATGGCTTGTGTTAAACTATCTGATGAAGAGCTCCATGAACGTAGACGTCTGGAAACTGTTCATGATAGTTTCACGTATGTAACACAACAGGCGGTATGCGAAATGTCAAGGGCCATCCAGTAGCGTGCCGAGCACTACGTCCGCCATTTTAGTAGCGGCGAGAAAACGAAACCAGGGACCCAACCGGCACAGAGCCCATGTAAACAAGTGACTGCGCTTCATGCGAGAGATGCGATGTTAAAGCTATGCTGCGTTCTGCTGCAGAAACAGCGATATACTTTGATTCGTGCGTGACTTGAAGGCAAGCGTGAACGGGTTCACCTTTTTTCTTTTTCTTTGTTACTTTACACGCAGCTTTTGACAAAAAACAGTCAATGACAAAGTAAAAAAAAAAATACACGTGG